AGGTGGGGAAAACTAAACTGAATGCAGGGAGAAACAAGGCAGAGTCAGCCATGTAGCTTGTGAAGGAGAAAGATGCAGGAATCTTACTGGCATGTGTATCTCATGGTGATACACAGATTAATAGCAATGGGTTAATTCAAGATGTAAGAGCTAGCAATGAATATACCTAAGCCATTGACCAAACAGTGTTTTAATTAATATAGTTTTTCTGTGGTTATTCGGGTCTGGGTGACTGGAAAACAAAAGAGCAGTCTCCGCTTACACCATCCCTGGGCTGGTGGTCCTGGGTTTTATAAGAAAGCATTCTGAGCAAGCCAGGGAAATCAAGCCAGTAAGCAGAGGCCAAAGTTCATATAATATCTGTAATGATTGTTCTGTCTCTTTAAGAGACAAGTCACGTCCACTCCTTCTCTCTTCTCTCTCTCTGCTCTTTTCCTCTTCTCTCTTCCCCCTCCATAAACCCCTGAATAAATATCCAACCTCAGTCTGCATGTCATGACTATCCATGTCTCTGTCTCTTACCCTCCCGCCATGTGTCTCCCTGCCTGGGGCCAGCCACTGCTCAGGGACAGGCAGCCATCTCTGCCTGGGACTGGCTGCTCTCAGGTCCCACTGCCTGCTGCCACATGAGCCACTACCACTGCTTGGGGACCTACAACATTTCTGCCTGCTGCCACAGGGATCCTGCAGCACTTTTAATTTTTCCGTTACAGTATCTATCATTGTGATATTTGCTGCAGATGACCTGGACTTTAGCCTCTATTCTTTTTCAGAAGAATCAACATTACTAAGTAAAAATATTTTATTTCTTTAAATCTCAACTGTTCTACAGTATGAATACATGAACTTAGACCATCTATTCACAAGTGGAATCATGAGGAATTATCGTCCTGGAATATGACATACTTCTTAGAAGAACCTTCCAGTTCCTTTCCAATGTTAGTACCAGCGATTATTATCATCAGACAGTAATTGTTGTGCTTTCCTGTCCCTTTAAGGGACAAGCCACGCCCACTCCCATTACCTCTGACCTGCCCGCCGCCATCTTGCCCCTTCTTTTTCTGCTTCCTTGGTGTTCTCTCTGTCTCTCTCTCCTTTCATCTCTTCTCTCTCTCTCTCTCTCTCTCTCTCTCTCTCTCTCTCTCTCCCTCCCTCCCTCCCTCTCTCCTGTAATAAATATTTTACCTTTATGCCTATCTTTTGTGTTTATGTGTCTGTTACCTGCCCTTCCCGCTGGTAGGAAACTGTAGCCCCCCGGGGACCGACAACCGTCTCTTCAGGGCTAGCAGCTGCGTAGCAAACATCTTAGAAAAATTTTAAGAATAAGAGTAATAGTACTGAAAGACTTTGAGACACCTTAGCACTACTGCACCCCCCCATCCTGGGAACCAGGCCTCTAGCATTAGGAGACACCTTAGCACTACTGCACCCCCCATCCTGGGAACCAGGCCTCTAGCATTAGGAGGAACTTTAGCACTACTGCACCCCCCTTCCTGGGAACCAGGTCCCTAGTAACCAGCCACGCGTGCACGGGAGCTTTGAGTACTTTCCATCCCCATTGTAGTCTTTCTCCAATAGACCCGGACCCTGGAACTGGGGTGAGACGACCTGCAGGTGTTCCTCCTTGTAACCGCCATAACATTGATCAAGTAGAGTTAGCTGACCATTGTATGAACTAGTCAAAACAGGTGACAAATGATTTTTGGACTTTCCCTTTGATTCTGTACTACCCCCTCCCTGAATTTGTGGTTTTTTCCTTTAAAAGAGCTTGTAATAGACAAAGCAGGGTCCTTCTCCTCTCGAGGCTGAGGGACCTCTGCCGTGGCAGAATAAAAATTCCTCTTGCTATTGCATCAACCGTGCTGTGAGTGTCTCTTGGGGCGACCTCCTCCTTGGTGGGGATTTAGGGCCCAACAGTACCTACTACTACTTCTATTTATCATATACCAGGCACAATGCTAAATTATTTGCTCAGAATATTCATAGAAGGTAAGTCTTGTCTTCATTTTACAAAAGAGGAAAGTGAAACCTAATTTAATTTCCCCATGTCATATACATGGGAAGTGGCAAAGTCAACTAATCCCAGGAAGGTCTGACACCAAAGTCTTACTTATCTGTTAATGTTACAAGTCTCCTAACTTCTAAAGCACTGTTAAAAGAATTTTGAAATTTGAAACTTACTAGTCACATTATTAGTTTCCTGGGGTTTTAGGAAACTAAACTTGGATGGTTTACTGTGGAGCCTATTTCCACATTGTCCAAAGGTCAGAGAATTAGAATTTACCTCTATTCCTTCAAGGTTTGTGTTTCTACCTCAAAGGAAGGTCCCACCTAGATTTAGAGCAGAGAGTTCTGCTCTCCAAGGTTATTATCAACAGGTGTGGCTAATATCCAGACCTTGTATTTAAGGAATAGAGAAGTAGATATGCTTCTACCTCAAACAAAAGTCTAAGGATTCAACTAATTTCCAGCCCCATTTATGGAGATAACAATGGATTCCTCCCAGGGAGTGGTTTGCCTACAGAATATTTTGGTCTAGGGTGTGGGCGTGACTTGTTTTTTTTCTAGCAACAGAATGTTTAACTATGACCTTCAATTGGTATGTTCATTTCCTTGTAACCTGTTAACGCAGGTTTCTTTTTTTTTCTTTTTTTTTCTTTTTTGTCTTACTCCTACATTTTGGGGCCAGAGGTACTTTAAGCAATTGGAAATTAATTCGGGCGAATTCCAGTACTCACTGAAATTCCCTCCTGATACTATTCTGTTTCTCCATTTTATTATTTTCATTTGCATCTTCATATTCTTTACTATATTTCTAAATCCCCACGCCTCTATCCTGGAAAGAAGTATTTTTGTTTTTGTTGAGTCTGGTCCCCGACAGTTTATAAAATAGAAATGTATTCCCTCAAAGTTCTGGAGTATACTCTTGCTTAAAACTCCAGTACCAAATGCTTCCCTGCTTTTTCCTAACTTCTTTTGGTTGCAGATAAACTTTAATGCTCCTTCAAGGGCACCATGACCACTCTTCCTCCTGACAGTGGGTCTTTTATCTTTCTACAAATGCAAATTTCCTTTAGAACACAAATTACTGAGGCTCAGACTAATCTGGTATGACTTCATCTTGACACGATTACATACATGACCCCAAATCCTATTATAAATAGGGACATGCCCCAAGGATTCAAGTGGCCATGAATTTTGCTGGAAGACTATTTAACCCAGTATAGGAGCCATAAAGGGGACCAAAAATACAAACCTTTTCCAGTATGTTTGACTATAGTTTTCTTCAACTTTAGAGACAATAAAAAGTCATGTAATTTGGAGATTTCCTTTCCGCCTGACTGTCATGTTACTTATTTAATTCTACTTTAAAGATTCAGTGTTACTGGAGACAAGTCACAAATTTACAGAGTTTTTAGGGCCCTCAGATAGTCATTAGCTTACTGTGTATAGCAAGTCTGCTTTGTTAGGTGTTAATGTCGCAGTTGTTACTCTTTTACATCAGGATTCCTAACAAGCAGACTAGCTACAGATATTTATTAGTTTACAGTAGAGCCTTGAGATGTCAAAGTGCTGCTACTTTTTACAGAAATTAAAGTTCAAAGAAGGCGAGTTACCCAATGAAGGTCACAGAGCTAGCAAATGGCACAGCTAGATCTCCAACCTATACCTTCTGTTTCCTAAATTCCACTATACCCCAGTACAGAATGTAGATGCAAAATCTAATGTCATTCATTACTGTGTGGATAAATTTAAGAATTGTCAGGGGAAAAGAACTTTGGACTCCTAGAGTCAGAAGAGACAATAAAATTATACATTTTTGTATTAGCAGGATACAAAGCGCAATAAGTTATTATTATTATTTGGAATAATAAGAACATTGTTATGCTTTTTATGGTAGAATATCACTTAAGTTAACCCCATCCAGCTGGTATTGAAAGTTTGTAATTGAAAATATTTATAATTATTTAGTATTTATACAAGATGATTTCTGTCTGTAAGAACCATACATAAGAATAAATGGCAACTTAAGACTTGCTCTATTGCTGTCACAATAACAGTACATGTTTATTGAGCTTTTAGGATGTGCTCTTTTCACCTTTGTTCTAACTGCTTTATGTGCAATTAAACTGTCTTCATAACATCTTCACAAATTAGGTAGTATTATTGCTTCTATTATGTATGCAAATAATAGGATGAGGGTAAGATATTTTATTAAGAAAAAAAAGGAACCAAGCTGTAAATTCAATCTGGCTCTAGAGCCCACACTTTTAAGTACTATTATCCATTGTCTCCCATTCCTACTGCTCTGTTATCCATGTTAAATGACCAATAAATAGCAAAGCAGAATGGTAACACAGCAGATCTTGAATGCTGGGAAGGTCCATGAATTCTAACAACAAACTCTCATGAAATGAGAATTAAAAGTGACATTATAAACTACACTATATATACTCTGGATCTTACTTATAAAATAATATAGAGCTAATTGTTCAAGGAGACTTATGATTCGCTTACACATTTTAAATGCAAAGTGCCTCAGTGTTTTTAAAAAATGTATGTAGATCAAACTAAGATGGTGATGATCTGAAGAGGAGCACAAAAATATACAGGAGCTGTGATGGTCAAGGTCTGTGGGATCCTCACTCTATATCTTAGAGAGGGGATGGGTTGGGAAGAAAGGCCAGGTATCTAGAACAATAATGGCAGAACAAGAGAGAGCTTAGGAGTCACTGTGGAAGATAATGTGATTACCTGTGTCCATCTCATGATGAATATTATTTCTAATTGCTATTTTATAGCCAAAAGGGCCACCAAAAAATATGATTTGCTCTATTTCTGAGTAAGCTTCATTTAATAAATCACCCTAATTGTTCTAATAAACCAAATATATTTTTGTTAAAGTTCCTCAGTTTATAGACTTTATATAATTCGCTTTTTGAAAAAGAAAAGGATACACAATACATTACTAACCAACACAGTTCACAATACACACTTACCTTTTTCTGCTGGGCTCAAAACAGTAACTGTGGACAGAAAAGAAAATGGGAGATAGAAGAGAGGACAGGGGAGAGAGAGAGAGAGAGAGAGAGAGAGAGAGAGAGAGAGAGAGAGAGAGAGATAAAAATTAGTGAAATTGATGACGAAGCTATATCCCAGTTAACCCACTATGAAAAATATCATTAACCTGAAAGTCCTCTGCTAGGGATATAGGCCAACTGGTAAAATGTGTGCCTAGCTTCCTTTCGCTCCCCAGCACCACATAAAACGGAGAATGGTGTTGCATGCCTGCAAACTCAGAACTTGGGAGGTGGTAGGAGGAGGAGTTGGCTGACAGTAGAGATCATCTGCAGCTACAAAGTGAGTTGAAGGGCGATGTGGAAAGAAAGGGAAAGAAAAGTATTTTAATATTTCTAACTTATTGAATTTCATAGCTTAGCTTGCATGACCTACTGTGCTGGATAGTTTCATGTCATCTTGGCATAAACTAAAGTCATTTGGGAAGAGGGACCCTCAATTGAGAAAATACCTCCATAATATAGGGCAGTATACAAGCCTGTAGGGCATTTTCTTAATTATTGATTGGTGGTGGAGTGCCCTGGCCTTTGTTGGTGGTGCCATCCTTGGGCTGGAAGTCCTACAACTGGTTGTTATAAGAAAGCAGACGAGTTTTAAGCTTCTACACTAAGGCTACCCACCCTGAGCGGTGAGCCTCATGGTCCACTGTAAGGGAGCCCGGACACCCTTGGCCTGTGCTCCAGGGGCTCCTGAGCTCTCCTGGATCCCGCACTGCCTGCCCCGTTATTCCTTCTGTCCCCGGGCTACCAGGCGGCCCTGTTTAGGTGCCAAGGAGTTCCATCTGGACGGTCGTCCATGTTTGGGTGCTGAGGAGTTCCAGCTCGACTGGACGGTCCCTGCTTCTACACTGAAGAGATACACCCAGAGACTCAGTCACAGCAAAGACTGGACCAAGACACCAGGCCTCTCCTGGCTCCCTTTGAAAGAGGAGATGGGAAGGCGCCAATGCAAGAATTCCTCCAACAACCTGAAAGGCAACATGACATCACCAGAATCCAGGGATCCCGAAATAAGAAGAATTGTACACCCTACTCCAGAAGAATGAGAAGAAATCGACTCAAAAGTGAATTATATGAATATAATAGAAGACCTTAAACAGGAGGTGAAAAACTGCCATAAACAATTGGAGATTACAAACAAAAAGGTAGAGGAAATGAATAAATCGCTCAAAGATACCCAAGAAAACCAAGAGAAACAAGAAAAAGCAATCAAACAGGTAAGGGAAGCG